AGCCTAGTATGTATAGTAAGCTCCAGGTGAGCTGTCTCAACAAACAAATAGAACAGAACCACTGCAAGACCAGGTAGGGAACGGAGAGAGTAGTGGGCGTGCAAAGGTCAGAAAACCTGACTCCTTACATGGAGACAGTCAGATGGACAGGGCACTTGCTAAGGGTTGGGGAGCCAGGAAGGTTGGGTGGAGTGTGTCAGTAAAGAGATCAGGCAGAAACGGTTTGCTGTCTGCGGGAAATGGAGGCAAGAACTGCAGTGCTGACTTGCAATTCCCTTTGTCCCATGTCGTCCCTCCAGGAGCCACACTCAAGAGGTCATTTATCCAGACCCGAAGCCCAGAGTCTCTCCCCCTATACAACCAGCGCTAACCGGGCCAAGTTGCTGGCTAAGAACAGGCAAACTTTCTTGCTCCAGACCACAAAGCTGACTCGTCTTGCCAGACGGATGTGCAGAGACCTGTTACAGCCAAGGAGGGCTGCCCGAAGACCCTATGCACCGATCAATGCCAATGCCATCAAAGCTGAGTGTAAGGACTGGAGTGGTAATACTAGCCACATGGCTAATGAGTTCAGAGTTGCTCTGGCCAGATTCTGTTGTTTAATGACGGTAGGGATAGTAGGCCACAGGGTGTTTGGTTTAACTCTTGACCCTAGGGTAGTGAAAAGTGCCTTCAGAAATTTTGATCTGCTATGTCTGGTAGTGCATACCTAGAATATAAGCGCTGGGAGACTGAGACAGGATCTAACTACCTAGTTCCTATCAGACTGGTCTATGTAATGAGCTCCAGCCTGGATTACATAGTAGGACCCTGTTTCACGTAGGCTAGGTATTGTGATGCATGCCTGTAACCCAAGCACTGGAGAAGCAGAGCTAAGAGGATGATGGCAAGGTCTAGGCCAGTCAGGGCTACATAGCAAGACCATTTCACAAAGCAAGAACAAAACTGCAGAATGTCCAGAAGCTTTCTTCTTCTCCAGGTTCTATTCGACTTCCTAAGGCTGCCAAGACGCCACTGAAAATTCACCCTCTGGTGCGGCTGCCCTTGGCAACTATCGTCAAAGATCTGGGTATGGAATGGGAACCACACTCGATTTAGGGTGGGTAGAAGGTGGGAGAAACAGTGTGGGTGGTGTCAGGCCGCCAGCCGCTTGACTGTCCAAGAACCTTTTCTTCCCCTGAGTTTTCCTTTCCCACTGAGAACAAACCATGAGTATGTGTGTGTATTTTTTTTTTTTTCTTTTTTTTTTGGTCTTGGTGGTAGTGGTGGTGCTAGATCAAAACCCAGAACCTTATGTATTCTGGGCAAGTGGTTTACCATTGAGCTCCATTTCTGGCACAGTAAGGCCTTTTCATAAGTATTTTGTGATCTGAAAACATACTCAGTGTCATTTTTGAAATATGGGTAGGTAGCTTGATAGGCCTTTTCCTCCGTTACTGCTCTTCATGGGTCCAAGGTAAACTGCTAGGCCAGGGTAGAGAGGGAAGAAAGAATGTAAGGAAACTACATGAGCAAGAGAAGGTATGAACGTTTTGTTTCATCTCCCCTGCCCCCACGGGTAGTGGCCCAGGCACCTCTGAAACCAAAAACACCTCGGGGCACCAAGACACCAATCAACAGAAACCAGCTGACACAGAACCGAGGCCTGGGGGGCATTATGGTGAAGCGTTCCTATGAGACTGTGAGTTGACACTCGGTGGGGAAAGCTGAATGGGTGGGCTTTTGTTTCTGATAGGAGGCTGAGGGAGGCAGCGCTTTCATTATGTCGCCCTGTCTGTCCTTTTCCAGATGGCAGGGGCGGGGGTCCCCTTCTCTGCCAATGGAAGGCCTCTGGCCTCCGGGATTCGTTCAAGCTCACAGCCAGCAGCCAAGCGTCAGAAACTAAACCCTGCTGATGCTCCCAATCCTGTGGTATTTGTGGCCACAAAAGATACCAGGTAGGGAGGGAGTCCACCCCGGGAGGGACCGAGACCAGCAATCCAGGTTGGGGGGCATTGGAAGTAGGGGTGTCTGAGAAAGAGGTGCAGAGAAGAATGTGGGTGCCAGAATAGTGGAGTTCATTGTGGAGTCTTTGCTGTGTCGCTGCTCATAAAGCCGCCCCCCCCCCCTCGTTTCTGTCTTGCTCTTTTTGACCAGGGCTTTAAGGAAGGCTCTAACTCACCTGGAAATGCGCCGAGCTGCCCGGAGGCCCAACCTGCCCTTGAAGGTGAAGCCAGCACTGCTGGGAGTTCGGCCCCCAGTTTCTCTGCCAGCACCCGCACATCCTGCCAGCACCAATGAGCCCATTGTTCTGGAGGATTGAGCATCTTACGGGGAGGGAGGTGGGATGAGAGGTAGAGGGTGGGTGCTCAGGGCATTCAAACCTCAAGGAGTGAGGGAGGGTTGAAGCTGGTGTGTGTGACCTTGGAGGGTTGGACACCCTCTGGTGTGGCTGCCACTAACTCCCCTTCTTTGGGCTTCTCCATGCCTGTGATAGAGGACAGCCTACAGGAACTTGCCTATGTGGGTACCTACCCTATTTGGGGGCTGGGACCCACACTTGGTTTGGACAGCTCGGGGGGAGGAGGGTTTTTTAATTTTTTAAAAATTTTACCTCCCTTTGTAAAAGGGATGGAGGCGGGGAAGAGTATCAGATATCAGGTGGTGGTACCTGGCAGGGGAAGGGGAGTGCACTGCCATGTCTCTCTTTTGTCTTTATTTTCTAATTGGGGGTTTCTCTTACTGTCCGGTGTCCGGACTTTCCTAATTAGACTTTGAGGGCCCTAAGCTGGCATCAACCCCAGCCCATGCTCACTCTTTCTTCCCTCCCTTTCCCCCTCTGCCTTTTATATGCCAATTCTCAGAAATAAAGATCTTTTGTCCGTTTTTTAACCTCGGATTCTGTAATTGGTTCTTATAGTGATGAATAAAAAGCTGTTTTCTTCAGCTCCTCAGGCTCAGCTGTTCTCTGCCACTGGTGTGTGTGTGTGTGTGTGTGTGTGTGTGTGTGTGTGTGTGTGTGTGTGTGTGTGTGTGTGTGTTGGGGTGTCTTTGAGAGGGAAAATAGAGAACAAAGGACAAAGAAAGATACAGATGGCACTTGTTCTAGCAACAGCTTTATGAGACATGCAGCCGGACTGCGAGGAGGTCTGTGCCAGCTCTCCTTGTGGGACTCAAGCGTCTATTGGGGCTGGAGTATAAGCAGCATCTTGGTGTAGATTCATTCAAAGTTCTGTAATGGCTCTGAGTCTCCACAGAAGACTGTGAGAATGTTTTCCTGTTACCCACTTTTACTCCTGGTGCATGCTACTCAAGGGCTCTACTATTAGCTACCTATCCTCAGCCCTTCCTTCACTTTCATTTAGGCATTCTAGGGAACACTAGCAGCCAGGGTCAGATGCATCTCACCAGCTGGGTGGTGTTAACACATGCCTTTAATTCTAGCACTTGGGAGGCAGAGGCAAGCAGATCTCTTAAGTTCGAGGCCAATCTGGTCTACAGAGGGACTTCCGGAATAGCTAGGGCTACACCGAGAAGCCCTGTCTTGAAAACAAAAAAATGCACTCTACCTTAGTGGTTATGGGTGTGGTACTGCAGGACTTTACAGTTCAGGTTCAGTGGTGTACATATCCAGACTGCTGCCCAGGATTTGTACAGTGTCAGCACCTGCCTCCACTGTTGAGTGTGCAGTATACTGTTTTTTGTTCGGTCTGCTTTCTTGGTTTGGCACTAAGGATCAGATACCTGAGCAGGGTCCAATGGGGGACAGCTGGTAAGTTCAACCAATTCTTAAACACTTTTTTTTGGTTTTTTGAGACAGGGTTTCTCTGTGTAGCTTTGTACCTTTCCTGGAACTCACTTGGTAGTCCAGGCTGGCCTCGAACTCACAGAGATCTGCCTGGCTCTGCCTCCCGAGTGCTGGGATTAAAGGCGTGCGCCACCACCACCCGGCCTCCAATTCTTAAACACTTTAGTGACAGAAGGGCCCCATGACTCAGCCAAGGCCACAGACTGGTTTTCTGCCCAAGGTCTACTGCTCTGATAATCACAGGACAAGCTGCTGAGTCCACCTGATAGCCTTTCCATTTCATTATGGTCCCTGTGCTCAGCTCACATCTTCTTTCCTGTTCCCTGAACCTACAAGACTGATTCCTGTGCCTGACGGGATCTGCAGCACTTCCCATCCCACTTCCTTGAATAAATGAGTTTATCTCTTACCACTGGTAGTCTTTTCTTCGTCTTACTACCTTGTAATGGGCCTCGTTAATATACTTCATTCAGGCTACAACTGCGGAAGAAACTGACCTGGGATAGTAGCTATCTGCCGTTGCCTCACTGAGTCCAGGTGAAAGGGAGTAGCGGGGACAGGGACCAAGAGCGCTGAAAACACTTGTCCTGCAGAAGGATCCGGGTGTAGAGAAAAGAACTGCCCTGAGGATGTGGGAGTCGGAGTCCTTGAGCTCCAGAAGGATTGGAAACACCCACCCTCTGCTATTCTCACGGTGAAATAAAAGATTGAGGGTGCAGTTGTATGGTGAAGTGAAGGCACAGATCACCTGCCACCGCTTGGCGAAGAAGGGGCTGTGCTGTTAAGAAACAAGCCCGCTTTTGTGGCTGCTCAATGAATATTCACGATTCTTCGGGCCAATGAGCGTTGTCGATAGGCGGCTTTCCCTAGAACTGACTTAGAACAGGAACCCTCAACCTAGGGACAAGTTTTCTGGAGGAATACGCTAGCGCCGGACACAAACGTCACTTCCTACAGCACTGGCGGAAGTGGCTTCCCCGCACAGTGTGATTTTTAGCTGTGAATTCTGGTGGTGGCTGGTGGCGGAAGAGGTTGTAGGCGGTCCATACCGGAGAGTCGCTATGGCGGCGGTGGATTCGGATGTCGTATCGCTGCCTCGTGGCCGCTTTCGCTGCTGCCTTTGCGACATTACTACAGCCAACCGTAAGCGGTGGCTAGTGAGGGAAGGGGGAGGTTGCAGGCGCTCCTTTTTAGGTGTTAGTGAAAGTTAGGGTTATCTAGGTTATAGTGTTTGCTGGCGCTGGGGTCATCCACTTCTATTTTCACTCAGTACGTCCCAGGGCATTGCAGAGTGGGGAAAGTCCCACCCGTTCTAAGGACGATGCAAAATATCCATAGTGAAAGGTTCATTATTCCTTTTCAAACGTTTACTGGACACCTCTGTTCTGTGCCTGGCACTTTGATGGTCTCTGGAGTCGGGAAAAGGATTCAGGAACTCATAGTCTGGACTGAGACGGTTTCAGTCCGCCATGGATATGTTTACAGAGCTGAGGCATCACAGAGAAGGCGGTAATTCAATTGGAGACTCCCCAGTGGAGGATGAGTGAAAGAGCCTGGCCTGAGTGAGAGCAGAAGGTGCCAGTGAGGAAGAGGGCTTGGAAAGGTGGACTGCGTCATTCTGTGACACCGAAAGGGGTTCGGTGACATCTCACATCCTACTTTTGATATCTGAAATGTGATTTCCCCTAAACAGGGTCTTCTGGTGGTCTTGCCTTGTCCACCAGAAGACCCTTGGCTTCCAATGGCATCAAGCAGCTGACTGATGATAATACTAATGGCTAATTTCCCACACATTACCACATACCAGATGGCCAGAGCTGTGTGTGAATGATGCCTATGTGGTAGGCACTATCATTTCCATCATATATGAGAAACTGATACATTTGGAATGCCTACTATTTATCTCTTGAGAATTAGTCAGGAACCTGATTTATTTAGTTCTACATTTTGGCCTTGGACAGATTACTTGTTAATTCCTCTTGGGTGCGCAGCTGTTGCTCAACTTAATGCATATCATTGGCTCAGGCACTACCTGCCCTGTGGTCCTTTCTCGAGGAAATCACTTAGAGAATGCACTGTGTAGAAAAAAAAAAAACCAAAGAATATCAAATGTGGAAGGAGCCACTGCTCCGTCCACATGTCACCCTTTGTCTGTCTTTAAAGGAGAAGTATCTCCATGTGCAGAGAGCAGAACACCGGGACAGACCTCCTTTGTATGCTTATGTCTCTCACACTTGCCTCTGCAGGACCCAGCCTCGATGCCCACTTGAAAGGCCGGAAGCACCGGGATCTTGTACAACTACGAGCTACCAGAAAGGCCCAGGGACTTCGAAGTGTGTTCGTCAGTGGCTTTCCCAGGGATGTGGGTTCTGCTCAGCTTTCTGAGTATTTCCAGACATTTGGCCCTGTGGCCAACATTGTCATGGACAAGGACAAGGTAGAGTGAGTGGCTTTGGGATTAATGGATCAGATGGGTGTGCTTCATATGAAAAGAGAGAAACTAGCAGCCTGTTTTTGCAGCCTCCTAATGTGGCCTGTCCTTGGTAGACATTTCAGAACTCGGAATAGCTTAGTTTTGGGAGCTTCTGCCACCTCCTACACTCCCTGGATTTAATCCATTCCACAGAGTTAACTATGGGGGACTTACTTATCAAACATTGCATCATTTTGTTTGTTTTGAGACAGGATCTCATCATGTAATCCTAGGTTTTACCATGTAACTCTGGCTGGCTGGGAGCTTGTTATGTAGACCAGGCTGGCCTTGAACTCACAGAGATCCACCTGCCTCTGCTTACTTAGTGCTGGGATTAAAGGCGTGGCCAAGCCTTTTGCCCTATTCCCTCTTACCTGCCGCCCCCTCCCTTTTTGGTTTTTCTTCCAGTTCTAGGGATTGAACATGGGGACTTCTGAATGTTAGGAAAGTGGCCTCTGTCTATCTCCAAACCATCCCCATATCCTTTATCAATCACCTCCTATCTTTGATTCATGCCTTGAACTGGTGAGACGTCTGTAATTGTTTATATGTGATACGAAGTAAGGGTCCAACATTCTCTTGCTTCTGACTGTCCAGTTGTCCCAGCAGCATGTCTCTATAAGCCCATTCCTTCCCCACTGATCTTATTATCCTGTTGACTAGGTGTAGTGGTTTATTTGTTGGTATCAGTTCTTTTCTCTTCATCTAAATATATCTTTATGCTGGCACTGCAGTCTTTATTACTACACAGAGTGCCTCTTTATAGGAATAGATGACATAAAAGAACATGCACTTTTATCCACAAGCAGTCATGTTTGCCTCGATTCCGCAAATGTTTTTTACCTTAAAAAAAAATCTCAGTCATTACTATTCAGCTCTGTTCAGCTCACCCAGATCATAGCAGCCTAGCTGTCATATTACTGCTAATCCTAGTTGGTAAGTTCCTTGAAGACAGGATTTTTTTAGAGTTTATGTATTTATACTAGCAGTAGCAGAATTTTTACAAAATTTGTTATAGTTTGGTGCTGAGGCTTGAATCCAAGACTTCATGCACACTAGACAACTTCTCTCCCAGTGAGCTGCATTCTGAACCCAACATGGATTCTTTTAAAACTTTTATTATGTGTGCACATGCATGGTCCATGGCGCAAATGTGGGGTCAGAGGACAACTTTTAGGAGTTTGTCCTACTATGTATTCAGGGGATTGAACTCAGGAGGTCAGGTTTGGTGGCGAGCACTTTACGCCAACATGGATTTTTTTTTTAAGGTTTATATCTGGGTGTCTATGTAGTTATGTGTATGTGAGTACAGGTGCTCTGAGGCCAGAAGAGGGCATGATTGTATAGAGCTGGAGTTACAGGTGGTTGGTTTCTAGTTGTCTAATGTGGGATTTGGGAACTGAATTCCAGTCCTCTGCAAGAGCAGCAAGTGCTCTTAACTACTGAGCCATTTCTCCAGAATTCCACATACAGACTCCCTGCCATGGATTCTTATTGTTAAAAGAGTTAACTAGGAACAAGACTTTTTGTGTGTGTGGTTTTTTTTTTTTTTTTGAGACAGAGTCTCTCTGTGTAACAGTCCTGGCTGTCTTAGAACTCAATTTGTAGACCAGGCTGGCCTTGAACTCACAGAGATCCACCGGCCTCTGCCTCTCTGAGTGCTGGGATTAAAGGCGTGAGCCACCACTGCCCGGCCGTGGTTTTTGGTTTTTTGAGACTGAATCTCACATCATGCAGGCTGACCTCAAACATGCTATGTAGCTGAGCTTGAACTCCTGATCTTCCTGCCCACTCCTCTCCATTTAAAAAGTTTTTATTTTTTATTTTTTTGAGGCAGGGTCTCTCTCTATAGCCCTGGCTGTCTGTCCTGGAACTTGATAGGTAGACCAGGCTGGCCTCAAACTCACAGAAACCTGCCTACTCTAGCCTCTCAAGTGCTGGGATTAAAGGTGTGTGTTGCTAGAGTTTTCCTGCTTTGCCCACAGTCAGGACAAATCTTTGTCACCCGGCAGTCCCACAGCCGCTCAGACCCAACCAAGTAAACACAGAGACTTATATTGGTTACAAACTGTATGGCCGTGGCAGGCTTCTTGCTAACTGTGCTTATAGCTTAAATTAGTCCATTTCCATAAATCTAT